ATGAATCAAATATCAAATTGAACCAACATATAATATGTCGCCCAACTAGCATTTTCAGTCACAGGCACCATGGTTCAAGAAACTATTACCTATATTTAGTGATAATAACGTATTTATCACTTATTTCAGAACTTCATAGTATAAATGTCAGTGATAGTTATTTAGTGAGTGAAAATTACGTAGTTTTTACACTAGATAATAACTTCAAAGTGAGAAATTCTCATGGCTTATTACGAAGTAACTATTTCGAAACTGTCACTCCTCAAAACTACTCTTAAGGTTTCGGAACTTTGGATATATTATTACGGTAACGCTTACCACCCCAAGAAGGCTTCACAGTTGCAATTACTCTATGGTCACCAATTAGGTTTCTACGACGTTGTCGTTACTTGATCGATCCCCTAATAATTTAGTCAATTCTTGGTGATATTTCAAGTAACATATTGGTAATTCCTACTCAAACAATTCCTTCATAGTTGAAACAACTTTTCGGTAATTATATTCAGTTGAAGTTACCAATACATAGGTTATCATAACTGACGAGTTCCAAAAGTAACTTTCTGATTCATTTTCGATTGGAAGCCATATTGATTGATGTGATAACCATTTGAACAGGAAATAATTTTGGTTTTTCTTGTTGATAAACATCATTTTATGAAGAATAATAGCATTCGTTCGATCACAAATTGCATAATAATGTAAATTAACATGATTTACGATGATTTTTGAAAAATAGCCGAATGAAATAAAACCATATTTTTGGTGAAATGAGCCGTATTTTGTGGGCGCATCTTGAATTTCGAGGCAAAATCATCACATTTATCGAAAAACTGAATGTTGTTCGAATTTTTCAAGTTCGAGTATCAATTATTTCGCGTGTTTGTCCTTGTATTATTTATTGAATGGTTAGGCATATTGGACTTGTTCATTTTTCGTGAATGTGAACTTCATGGATGAAATGAAGAATAATAAAGAGAGAAAATAATATTTTTATGAAGTGGAAAAGAAATAGAAAGTCAGGTAGGTAAATTTACTACATCTTTACGTAATTTCGACGTCGACGGGTCGTAAGCATTACGTAATTGTGTGAGTTCCCGCTACGTCGGCAAACCGTAATAATTACTCGTGATTTGTTCCCCATTTTGGTCGTAAATACGTAGTAACGACGTAATTATAACGTAACCGCAACTAGTAAATATTACTTAATAGTCGACCCAATAGTCGTAATTACGTAATCGCGACTATAAATGCTAGTTGGGCGGTCTGAATTATAGCGGTTTCCACTCGCCGATTTACAGAGCGCACTAGCACAGAGCAAGTACAAGTGGCACTGGCTCGGTTCTTCCATAAAGTGCGGTTTCAGCACAGAGCAGTGGAATAGAAATAGGAAGTTAGTGCGACCTCTTTGTCATCAGAAATGTCAGATTAATTGTTTTGTCAATCAAAAAGTTGAATTATTGAAAGTACATTTGGTTCCGTTGGAGCACAGGAAGGATTCATCTACCTTTTATTGTGGTTTCCCTGTGAACACTGCCAGAAACCAGCCAGAAACAGTCTAAAATATGAATGTTCATTGTCAATGATGTTCAATTGAATCATTCGACAATAGGGATGTAGCATTGAAGTGTCCTTCACGAAGTTGATATTTTTCATCATTACTGAATCAACAGTCAAATATGTTCAATACCTTCACATCTGAATAGATTTCTTCAACTTTTAGTTAATTTTGAATCTTCCATAAACGCTGTTTCGTATAACTAAGTACTTCTGTATCTCAATCATCATTTCTTCATCATCACTAACTTGTATATATGGTTCCGGAAATCATTGTAATAATAGTGATAAACTTCAATGTGACATTCATAATTATTCAAATTCCAAACATTTTCCCACTCGTAACTCAAATATTTGAGGTTATGTGTATCGCACCGTCGTACAAGCACAGTTCTGAAAACTCGAACTCTGCGCGGGCATCGAGCAAGTTTTCAAGCCAGTGGAAATCGTTTCTCGACAAAAGTTCGGTCATGAAATCCTCAGTGGACCACGCAAAACGCACTCAGTGCCGAAAAAGTTCGAGCTATATAGTGCGACGAGTGGAAAACGCTATTAGTTGAATTAGGTTATAACTAATCACAAAATGACAATCGACAAATGACAATTGACAACAGTGACGCTCGGTACATAACACAACATCGGAATGACACCAGTCAAGTCAAAACCAAGGAGTGTTCTGATTCGAAGTGACATAAAACACAATTATAATTGTGTTTAATGTCACTTCGAATCAACATATTCCTTGGTTTTGACTTGACTGGTGTCATTCCGATGTTGTGTTATGTCCCGAGCGTCATTGTTGTCAATTGTCATTTGTCGATTGTCATTTTGTGATTATAATTCAATTAATTCAGACCCACATATATACCCAGATAGCACGGGACGTCCCGAAGACGTCCATTTTAGGTCCATTTTTGGTCTGAACGTCCAGGACCTTTTATGGACGTTTTTAAGACGTCTATTATTGGACATACTCCGGACGTCCAGAAAAAGACGTCTTCAAAACGTCCAATTTACAGACTCTCAAGGTATATCAGTTTAAATTAATATAAGTAGGTAGGTATATATTAATTTCGAAATAAGAATTATTGAATTGAATATGGACATAAATGATGTCAAAAAATATATTATATATCAGCTGCATCAATATATTGAATTTCATTTTATTAATAATATTATGAATTTGAAATATATATGATTTTAACTGATTTGAACCTACTTATATAGTTATGTTGAATTATATTACTTCAATTACATAATACCTATACAGTTTGACCATTCTTATACCCACACTGGAGTATTCATACAAGCCGCCCTTTAATAATAAGATTTTATTGAATCACTGAATATGTAAAGCAACAGTAGAACGCATGCGTGCTCAGCGTTGCCAGTCTTACTATTTCAGCAGTAGATCTACTGTTTTTGTCTCCGTTCTACTGTTCAACTATTCAAGGCAATGGTCTGATTGGTCATGTTTTGATATGACATAACTACCTAATATGCAACAATGAAAAATTAATGGGACATCACAGTAAGAAGATGTATGATAAAAATTTACTGCAACTATCATATTCAGTCTGATTAGTAAAAATTAGCTTTTATTTCCAATCTGGTTGCGGTTTTTACAAATTTTATTTTTTATTTCCTTATTCTTATTTTTTGTTATTCTTCGTTCGATTTTTGATAGGTATAGAGATCGAACATGATTTTTTTTTCGTATTTTTTTTTTCGTTTATTATATAGGTAGGTGACTATGTTCTTTCATTTATGATAGTAAATTGTGATGATTTTCAAAATCTTCTGTTCAGTTTTGATGATCTACTGTTTTTTCCCCACCCATCTACTGCTCCGACAAATTTTCATCCGGCAACACTGTGCGTGTTACGTGGAACGAAAACGTGAGATAATGGAAAAGGGAAATGGGAAGATGGCGACCGTCAGTTGACCACTGCCGAGTGCCGATTAAACTGTGCTTCAGGTCCAAGCACATTCTGAACTTTTCGGGATATTTGACTGTAAAAGCAGTGAATAAGTGAAATCTTTGCGGATATCATCTATCAACTGGTGAACTTCGATCTCGAGTTCCATCGAGATGTTTATTTGTGCTAACAGCAGCATGAAGGCAAGTATGGCTATCGACGCTATCGTTTTATTTTCATTCGCTTGAAGATGCTTGAGTAAGAACATCAAATCTGGAGTTGAAAATATTAGATATCTTTCTAAATAATTTGATCTCATGCAAAGCTCTAACTAATCATATTTCCATCATCTACAAAAGTTTATATTTTTGTACATAGTTAAAACATGATATAATTCGTGCAAGGTTCATAGAGGTTATATAGGTACCTACCTAAGAATCAGTTTATGTTTGGAATAAGTTCTCAATGTGAGTGTGTGTTTATGGTTTATGGTATTCACAGAAGATGTTATTGAATATTATCATTATTTACAGATCCAGTGAAGAAGACAACAGAAAGCTGCCAATCAGAAAAAGACATCATCGCGCCTGCGTACCTGGATGAATCACGCGACGTTTTTAGTGGTGCAGCTGCTGATATACGATATGGAAGAGTGAAATTGAAACAACTACCTGAATCTCTGTTCATATTATTGTTTGCGAATAAATGTTTAGTTATATTCAAGTATTTCACTCTTCAGATGGGTCAGAAAATCAATAATCAATATTGTCTGAATGTCCTCAATACGTCCATTTTTCATACCAAAAAGGTCCTAGTCTGGACCTAAACTGGACGTCCCCAAAACATCCTGATTATTAACAATGGACGTCCCCAAAACGTCCATAAGACGTCCGTCGTCCTGAAATGGACGTCCCCAAAACGTCCTGAATGTCCAGAGTGGACGTTTTTAAAACGTCCATAAGACGTACTTGTGCTGATTGGGTATGTTGGTTCAATTTGATATTTGATTCATATCAAATTATTTTTAGAAACTAAGCTCTAAAATACAGCTCTGTGATATCATGTCTGTTATTCCCTAACAGCACTATATATATACGCGGTAAAAAATAGTTTTTTCACGTTTTTCAAGTAGGTAATCTTTTTCCATCAATAATGGTAGGTAGGTATACATTTAGATTTTCAATCATGCACTACTTGAAAACTAACATGCGCGTTGTTTCTTCTCACAGATTTTCTTTTTATAAATTTGTTGATGATGAAGGATTAATCCTTCAAAACATGTCCCTATGTCCATATCCGTTATTGGTAATCATTAAATTGTTCATGTGGTGGAGTTGTGACTATAATAAGTGCGTTTCACCCCTCCTCTGATTTATATCAGCACCTCCACTGTAAGTTATATGGATAACCTCTACGGTTATGGTTATATTTCATATTCAGATACCTATCAATAATTTCGATTGCAGAAAAAATAACATGTTTCATTCAGATCGAAAGTGATACACTCTGTTTGACTCGAAGAATTTGTGTGCTAGACTTCGCGGTTGATGCTCCGCCTCGCAAACGCAAAATATCGGTTGTCAAACAAAAGTGTCACATTTGACCCTAATAAATCAATGTAGGTACCATTATTCAATAATAAAATCAATTGAGTAAAACATTTTATGAGTATTATACCTATACTTACTACTTTTATACATACGCGTACCTATATTCAACTAACCCATTCATCAAAGTGATGACCTTTAGGTTACAAGATAATATTCTGTATACCAACTTCCAACATATCAAAAATACACCTACTCATAGATAGATATGACACAGAAGTATGAATGTTCCCAGTCCAGTCAGTCCACAGAATTCAGTTTGACAACGGATGGCGCGGATGCGGCAGACTATACTGAAATATTTATTCCGAGATTTCTAAAATGGCTAACAGACAAGAACAACTGAACTTGATAAGGGAAAACATTGCCAGCTATCCAGATTTTCCGAAGAAAGGCATACTGTTTTGGTGAGCACTATTTATTTAATTCCTGCATTATTTATTATTAATTGATAAGATAATAATATTTAAGTAGATAGGTATATATTTGGTATGTAATGTAATACCTACAAACCACGTGTTTTCTTCATTGATGTCATTGACCTTGTGTATCGAATCAGAGTTGGATGCACGTTGAATGTTCAAAATATTATTGTCGCCATGTATTCACGACTATACATTTATTTTGCTTCATGGTTATAAATAATATAGATGCATACAAAACCACAATTATGGAGCTTATTATGTACTGATACCGCGCTTTTTTGTCTACGATATATGTTTTGAGTTTTCCGAGAATACAGGGCGCTTCCTAACTACGTTATATTTCATAGTTTCACATGAAACTGGAGTGTGGAATATACCTATAGGTACCTACCTAGTCAATAAATTTTCAAATGCTTCATTGTAAAATGCTTGAGTATGAAGGTAGGTATACAATATAGCTTATCTGCATATTTTAACCACGTATAAGCATTCCTTATTCGATTATTGAACATTCTAGACATTCACTTCACACACACCAGACCTGAAATAAATAATGTACCTATTGTGGAGAATCTGATGTACTATCGTGCCTCGATCGAATGTTGATATTTTTCATTGATTATATATACCTACCTCATAAACCTAGGATAATATACTATTTCATTCACTACATACTTTCGGTTTTCAGGGATATATTTTCTGTTCTACAAAACCCCGTATTATTCCACACTCTGAAAGATGTACTGATACAAATTGCTAGAGAAATCACACCACCAATAGAATGTGTATCAGCGTTGGATGCAAGAGGATTTCTATTTGGTCCGCTGATAGCCCTAGATTTGAACATTCCGTTTGTTCCCATAAGGAAAAAAGGGAAACTACCTGGAGAAGTACTTACAGTATCATACTCAAAAGAGTATGGAGAAGTGAGTAGTGCCAAGTTATAATAATTTGATCAACACGATGATAGAGATTTCCCGAGCCACCTTATTGCATTAATTCGGTTGATTAGTGTTTTGAGAGAGGACGAGGGGGAATAATGAATTTTTTTTTGCAAAAGGGCAAGCAGTTTTTGCAGAATAATATTCATCTTTTGAATTAAGCAATGTTAAAATTTCTTGGTAAAATTCTGATTTCTTGGAACCCAAAAGCAATCCTGCGAGATATGGGAAGTTAATAGTCCCAATATCAATTCCAGAATATCCAGAGTAATTTGAACACAGGGTAGGTATATATTTTAGTCAGATCTATTTGACAAACAAAATCATTCAATAATTGCATTTCTGTAAAATGCAACTTCGACAATTACTATAAAAATAATCAACCACCAATGGTAGGTATTATCAGAGGCATTATGTCAAAAAACCAATATGGCTTCAAAGAGGGATAATCTCCTGAAGACGCTATTCTTTGTCGAATTTCCTAGCCTATGTATTCGTTTATCTTGCAAAGACTTTAGTCACAGAGAGACATCCCAGGCAACCAGATGACGAATGATCACGTCACTAGCTGTGACGTCCCTAATTGGTGATTTCTCGTCAGAGACGACACACACCAATTTATGACGTCACTATATATGACCTACTTTTAATGACGTGATAATCACGTCATTATTTTGACGTCGAGTGAACGTCACTTAGATGGGTGAAAGAAGTCGTCAGTTTCATGACGTTGCAGGGACGTCCTGTCGACGTCCATTTTTCCTAGACCTCTAAACCATGGATATTTATATATTATCATGTGAAACCGTAGTATAACTCATGACAGCAAATCAACATGCAAGTTTTATACTGATTATTAATATACACGAAAAGTAGTAGAAAGACTTTTTTCCAAAAAACTTTGACACACTGTATATCTCGCAAACCAACAAGCTATGTATATATAAAAATGATTGTTTAGGTATACCAATATTGAAACTGTTACTCTTATGACGTTACAGTGACGTATCTATGACGTCTAAAAATCACGTCGGTGTGACGTACCAATTTTGTGAGCTTCGTCATTTAGTAAATTTTTCAATAATTTGCTATTTCGATTTTTGTTGGGTGACAAAGAATGCATCAATATACATTATTCAACAGAGTGAAGCCAAATTCGCCAACATCATTTCCATTGCTATCAAACTATTCTTTGTTTGCTTACATCTCGCCGGCACACACTATATACATAATTTTTTATACAGATACGAGTAACAGACTGCATTCTGATGGAGATGCGTACTGAAGGATAGCGCTGCTGAATAGGCGATTGAATGAACATGGCACAGGAGGGGACCCACCAAGCAGCATCAACAATGCATAATCAATATTACATAATGTCATCAGAGGCTAGTGGTGTTTATCACACCATGTTAAAGGAATCTTTTTTACGTATCATCGTCAAATTCAATCGTCATTTTGACGTCATTATGACGTCAGTCGGAGGTCACAGTTTGGTGAGTGAATGACGTCAATACGACGTGAGTAATATGACGTCATTGAGCTGTGACTTATTCACGTCATTATCACATCAATGTGACGTCAACTACTGACGTCACCTTGGCCATTCAAGTGACGTAAAAAAGACGTCACTGGAACGTCATCTGGTTGCCAAAATATTTTGTTCAATTTTTGGGATGAAATTTCTCGTTAATTGAAAGAATTAGATAAAATCTGATATCATGGGAAAATTCCATTGACTGTATCATATTAATGTGCTGTATATGTGCACTTATTTCAAAAACACCTTGTATATACATGTTTGTAATTTTAATATTATTGTATGACATGCTCTATACCTCACTTTAGGTCCTTGTTAGAGTTGATAAAGATTTTTCTGTCTTTCTTTCTCTCTTATATAGAATCGGTTTTCGTTTTGTACAGGGTGATTCACCATAAATGTCCCCCCCTCTAGCTCACTTATTTCTGAACCGATTCAAAAATTGAAAAATCATCTGAAATGATTTTTCAGAATTTTCTTTTCCGTTGCATCAGAAAATACAGGGTGCTCGGAACAAACGATCGAACTACAGAGTACTACTTGATTTTTTCAAATGGAACACCCTGTTTTTCATTGTATTTTTAAATTCTTCCTGAAGAACTGATTCATTCAATGTAGCACACTTGGGATCTAGCGGGAATGAATACAGATATATAGGGTGTTCAAAATGGAGATTTTTCAACTTTAGGATTTTTTGTGTCGTAACTATTCATTATTGGTCAAAACGGCTTTAATGTCCCTATCTCAACTTTTGATTTACTATCTACTGAGGTTTAATTGGAACATACACAATGTGGTTCAAGATTCCGAATTCTGATCACCGTGTATCTGTTCAAATTATTAAATGTCAGTAGATAGTAAATCAAAAGTTAAGATACGGACACGAAAGCCGTTTTGACCGATGATGAATATATAGTGTCGTCACAGAAAAATCCTGAAGTTGAAAAATCTCGATTTTGAACACCCTATATCTCTGTACTCATTCCCACTAGACCCCAAGTGTGATGTATTGATTGAATCAGCTCTTCAGGGAGAATCTAAAAATACAATAAAAAATAGGGTGTTTCATTCAAAAAATCAAATAGTACCCTGTAGATCGTTTGTTCCGAGCACCTTGTATTTTATGATGTCGCGGAAAAAAACTCTATCGAAAATCATTTTAGATGATATTCAAAATTTTGCAATCGGTTCAAAAATAACTGAGCTAGAGGGGGGGAACATTTATGGCGAATCACCCTGTACCATATAAACATCAATGAATGATGTTCATTGTTCATTTACAAAATGGAAATACAGGGTGTCCCACTTGGATGTGTCACGACCCCCTTAATCCTCGTAATTTTCAACATATTTTGGTTATTCACAAACTTTTCTGCAATATTTTTTTACGAAAGTTTTGAATCTGTGCTCACTATTTTCCTTTATATGTATATCAACAAAAAAAATTCTAATGAAATGATCCACATGTTTTTCCATAATTTGATATGAAGCCGGTCAATATGAATTCAAAAATATTTATCATTCATATATATATCATCATCGAATCAAATTCGATCATTACCTTAAAATATAAATGATTTCTCTTAGCCACCCTGTATTTTGTTGACATGGGGAAAAAGTAAGCCTATATAGATTCAAAAAATTCGTGAAGCAAAATTCCAGAAAAGTTTTTTAATAGCCAACATATGTTGAGAATTACGAGGATAAAGGGGGTGACACATTTAAGTGGGACACCCTGTAAAATGGATGCCCATGAGCGTCATGTTGCCTGATGAACACAAAATGGTCATCCAATATGATTGTACAAATTCAGATGTCCCCATTGTATATTTACGAAATAGATGTCCAATGGATGTCCATGAACATATTCCACTGCCTGATGGATACAAAATGAAAATCCAATGATTGTACAAATTCATTTGGTCCATTGTTCATCTACAAAAAAGATGTCCAACAGATGTCCATGGACATCATGGTCCATATGGACACATAAATAGGCATCAAATGGACACACATATTTGTTGTCTATGTTATAACACCACATCACTACCAAGCAAGAAGAGGAATAAATAACAGTTCCTAACCAAGATCTGATGAAATGATTGGTAAAACATGCTAAAAATATCTCGCTCCTCAAATAATCAATTATAATTATATACAGGCTGATTCACGGTGGATGGCACATTAGACGTTTCTGGTGAACCAGACAACGGATCATTTTGAAAATTCAATGGAGGGCATAGTCGGGAAATATTTTCGACAATGCGGTGTTGCCGCTTCTATTAGAAAGCAGTAGCAACTTTGATTTTTCAAATGGAACATTCTGTATTTTATTGCATTTTTAGATTCTCCCTGAAGAGCTGATTTCATCGATGTATCTCACTTGGGGTCTAGCGGAAATGATTACAGAGATATAGGGTGTGAAAAATCGACATTCTTCAACTTTAGGAATTTTTTTTGTCGAAACTATTCATTATTGGTCGAAACGGCTCACATGTCCCTGTCTCAACTTTTGATTAACTATCTACTAGCATTTAATTGAAACAAATACAGGGTGGTGCAGAATTCAGAATCTTGATCACCCGGTATACAGTGTGTCCCACTTACCATGCTCACCATGGGTATCTTTTTAACGGTGAGAGATACGAGGTCGGTTAAATGACACCAAATGTGGAGTTTGTCAAGGCCAACTATAATGTGAAAAAATATTTTGATAAAATCTATTCGTTTTTGTTTTATACGCAAAAAACAGATTTTGATCATTTTCATGTCTCCTCCGTAACTTCTTTATTTATAAAAATATTCAAATAGAAATTTCACATTCTCATGGCAGTTTTTCGAAGTGATTTCGAAAAAAATATGAAATTTATACCAACTCTTCTAGAATTTGAGATATCAGCACCAACTTTAGTTTTTCAAATGTAGGTCATAGCTCACTATGACTTAGTCACAAATAACTTTTTATTCTCTCACAGATGATATGTCGCAGTAATAGTTTTGTGTTGATAACAACGGAGTTATCGTCATTTATACAAAAACAAGAAATTATTTGGAAGCCGCCATCTTGAATTTATAAATTTTAACAGAAAAATCATGATCTACGACCTCAAAAAACCCCCACTTACCAATTTTGAATGGAATCGGACCAAATCTTGTCCGCCATCTTGGAGCAGCCATTTTTTCCAATTTCAACAAAAATTCCATAATGTATTGTCACCGAAATTATGAACACCTGCCAAATTTCAAGTTAATCGGAGTTATGGAATTTTTGTTGAAATTAAAAGAATTGGCTGCTCCAAGATGGCGGACAAGATTTGGTCCGATTCCATTCAAAATTGGTAAGTGGGGGTTTTTGAGGTCGGAGATCATGATTTTTTTGTTAAAATTTATAAATTCAAGATGGCGGCTTCCAAATAATTTCTTGTTTTTGTATAAATGACGATAACTCCGTTGTTATCAACACAAAACTATCACTGCGACATATCATCTGTGAGAGAATAAAAAGTTATTTGTAACTAAGTCATAGTGAGCTATGACCTAGATTTGAAAAACTAAAGTTGGTGCTGATATCTCAAATTCTAGAAGAGTTGGTATAAATTTCATATTTTTTTCGAAATCACTTTGAAAAACTGCCATGAGAATGTGAAATTTCTATTTGAATATTTTTATAAATAAAGAAGTTACGGAGGAAACATGAAATTGATCAAAATCTGTTTTTTGCGTATAAAACAAAAACGAATTGATTTTTTCGAAATATTTTTTCACATTATAGTTGGCCTTGACAAACTCCACATTTGGTGTCATTTAACCGACCTCGTATCTCTCACCGTTAAAAAGATACCCATGGTGAGCATGGTAAGTGGGACACACTGTATGTCCCAATTAAATATCAGTAGATAGTTAATCAAAAGTTGAGATAGGGACATGTAAGCCGTTTTGACCAATGATGAATAGTTTCGACACAAAAAAATCCTAAAGTTGACAAATGTCGATTTTTCACACCCTATATATCTGTAATCATTTCCGCTAGACCTCAAGTGAAATCAGCTCTTCAGGGAGAAACTAAAAATGAAATAAAATACAGAATGTTCCATTTGAAAAATCAAAGTTGCTACTGCTTTCTAATAGAAGCGGCAACACCGCATTGTCGAAAATATTTTAGTTGGTTAGAGAATGTCCGAATATGCCCTCCATTGAATTTTCAGAATGATCCGTTGTCTGGTTCACCAGAAACGTCTAATGTGCCATCCACCGTGAATCAGCCTGTATAAGTACCCCCTGGATTTCGATACCTACGAAACTTTCACTTATTTAAAAGAAAATGTAAGGAATGGGCATTCGATTATTGTATGGAAAGCTTCAGGCAACTATTTTATAGTCCTGTGGGAATCATTAGGTTTCCTCTATTATTTATCATTCATTAACTTTTTTCTGGAATTTACGTTTACAATACCGGGTGTAACACGATCATTTAGTTTTAGAGATAAGTGACTGAAATTTGGTTTGATCCATCAACTTGATAAATGTCACTTTTTTACATAAATAGGTTTTATTTTCCACTCCCAGTTCCACCGGAAGTGGTAATAACTTTGAGTTTTCAAATGGAACTTTCTTTATATCATTACATTTTCGAATTTTGCATCATTTTCTGAATCCAATGATACCATATAAGTGACATTTCATACTTCAATATTGATTTTAATATCGTTTTCGATTTTCCATCTGAGTGCGCCATGACTATTATGATCGAGTCTGCTGTACTCATATTATCAGGTGTAATGGTAAAAAAATTGAATCCTGACAAAAATATAAAAGTTTTTGATTCATCACCAGTTTAATAAGTTCATCAAAATGGTTTGGTCTCGGGTTTGGTATACCATGATCCTGTTACACCCGGTATATGAACACTTAACTCTCAAAGGATAGTGGAAAAGTGAAACTTTCTCTCGATTATGACTTCTCGATTGTGACTAATCTCCTCGACTGAGACTGATCTCCTCGATTACTGTGACTGATATTATTGATTGTGAGTTATATCTTCCTATTGTGATTATCTTCTCGGTCTTGACCTACTCGATGTATTACCGATCAAATTCAACTAACCACCTAATCAGTTCATAGCTTATGAATTCAAGCTATGCAATAAATGCAAGTGTGAATCTTTGAAATATCACAAACATGATCAAACAAGTAGGTAGTTATACTCTACTACTTCTGTGTTCTCTACATGCTTATTCCTCTTGAAATGTTAGCAATATTAAATAATTACTAGATATTATTGGACATAGCCCTCAAGAACAGTTTACCACACACACACATGTTTCGGGCATTCGGCCCTCCCCCCTCCTCGACGAGGAAAAATTAAAGGTGTATCCATAGTTCATTCATTCAAAGACTGAATTTCTGGTCTCTTTTCGAAACAAAAAAGAATGAGATTTTTCACAAACATGATGCAAGATTGATTAATATCATCCCAGATTTGGCTATGGGGAGATATTAAACATATAGGTAATCATCGTAGATTCAAGTTGCAACTTGTTATTGATAGAAGCAGATATATATGTTACAACATTGAGGTATATCAATTTTCAGATTGATCAATCTTCTCGTTTTCTAGATACTTCAATATACCATCAACCATTATAATCACACCCTGCATATCACTGAATGACATTCAAACTCATTGACTGCTTCTGTTTCAGGATACTCTTGAACTGCAGCTAGGAAGTATCAAAAAGGGTCAACGGGTATTGCTAGTAGATGACCTATTAGCTACGGGAGGAAGCCTAGCATGTGGCTGCGAACTGATTAAGAAAGCTGGAGGGGATCCCGCAACGTGTTTGGTTATCATCGAATTAGAAGATCTAAAAGGACGAGAAAATATACCACACAATATTATATCGCTTCTGAAATTTTAACAATGTACTCAAAATATTGTGACAAATAAATATTTTTTTACAACCGATTAACTGAGTAGGTATAGCTTTTGACGCTGTAGAATCCCAAAAAAGATTGAAGACTCGATTGATGACTTCATTCAAATTGACTTCAAAAAAGTTAATATAATGATCAAAAAACTGTCTAATTTTGGGAAAATTCGAATATTCTGCGAGGGTGTGAGGAGTTGTGCGATAACAGGAATAAAACACGTCAAACACTGGTCAGATACTAAAAAATTGTCACTTAATGTAAATAAAACAAATCATACATCGCTGTTTCTAAAACATCCGCAGATCGTCCTCACTTCCAAGACATTTATGTGCATGACTATTTCACTCATTATATACATAATCTGACCAATCAGAAAAGCCAGAGACAACTTGATTTATCGAGAAAATACCAAATGTCTTTCCATGCTGATTATTCTATCAGCCGTGGTGTTTTCAAGGATGCAACCCATATGGATAGCGAACCAAAGTCTGTCAATTTGGCATTAAATAAGTATGGCTGTAGTTGTCAGAATGATTGGCTCATTTATGATAAATGCTTTTTATGCTTGGTGAACGTGAGATAGTCTAGCAAAATACCACTCTGTTCTGCATATCTTTTCATAATTCTGTCTTTCATTGTTAAACTCGATAACGGACTCGAGTTCCGCGAACAATGAAGCGACAGAATATTATCTCGAATATTCAGAACATCGTTGTATATTACTTATGATAACCTAACCTATAATAATAATATAATAATATAAGTTTATTCAAAAACGTTTACAAAATATACATTGGAATAAACATATAGGTAATTTGAAAAAACTGGGAAAAACCTTAGGAAGTTAACCTTATAGTAAGGATAAAAAATAAATAAATGTACATTGGTCAATAAATATTTAACAATATCAAGTTATCACAATTGAAAATTGTCTCATTAAGAAATGAGACAAGTATTCAATTCATAATATATAGTGTACTGAGCATTTCATTCAATACGCATAATTATTTATATTCATACATACTTATTCACAATTATTATTAAAATTTATCTAATGATATTATTAAATGTTAATTAAAGAAATAAAATAATTTTTAGGGGAGTTTAATATCCAGTTTTTTTATTTTTATTGTATAGGATTGTAGTGATTTTGTTTTTATAATATCATTTGGAATTTTATTATATAGGTAAGGAATTAAAAATTTAAAATTTCTACGTCCAAATGACTTGTTTGTTTTATATTTCAATGTTATGTTATTTTTATTTCTTATGTCATAGATATGTTTTTTAAACTGAATGTCCTTTTCATTTTTAAAAATATGAATCAGTAAATTGTAAATATAGAGTTGATTTATATCCATTTTCTTAGATTCCTTATATAAAAGTTCAGTTGGAAACAAATAATCTTTTCCATGAATAATTTTTAAAATCCATTTTTGTGCAATTTCCAATTTTCTCAAATATATCTGCTTCACTCCACCCCATCCTAATATCCCATAAACTAATTGAGATTGAACTAAAGCATAGTATATCATTTCTAAATTTCGAATATTTAATAATTTTTTCAAATGTTTGAATTTAGGAATGAGGCATCTTATTTTCTTAGTGACATAATCAATATGATGATCCCATTTCAGATTATTGTCCACCATTATACCAAGGTATTTGATACAGTCAGTTTCCTGAATTTCAATTTCTCCATTTATCTTGATAGTGCCTAAATTTGGTTGAGAATTTTGATAGGAAGTAAATGTCATATATTTTGTTTTTTCAAAATTAATTGTTAATGAATTCTGATCAAACCATTCTTTAATAGGAAAATCATTAATTACTTTGTTTTTCGATTCACACCAATCATTCGCAGAGTAAAGATAACAGTATAATCTGCGAAAGAATGTATAGTACCAGCTGAATTTAGTTGTAGTAAGTCATTCAAATAAATATGTGGACCTAAAATACTTCCTTGAGCTCATGACTAACTGTATCAAATGCCTTAGCTAAATCAAGAAATATACAGACAGTTGTTTGTTTTTCATCAATAGATTTATATAAATTATTAGTCAAGTAACAAATAGCATGTTGTGAAGAAATATTTTTTCTGAACCCAAATTGTTGATTCGACAAAAAGTTCAATTTACTTAAATAGCTGTCAATGGGCGTGTACACCTTAGTAGAACTTTCAACTCAAACCATGTTTATAATGATCCTTTTATACATAAATAATGATTGACGACAAAATTCGATCTAAAAATTAACTGAAATGTTTTATTTTTGGACATTGATTATAGTACCTTCTGAAAACGGACCCTCTTATGACGTAGAAACCTCATCTCGCCATAGTTAAAAGAAAATACCAAAAGCCCGACGGAGACTGAGGCAACATATATATTAATTCTTTCAACTGTGATCTCGCGCTAATTCACTCTATTAGAAATCATGTATCATTCATCTCTGGTGAAGATTTTTACTAGCTGCATACACGTAACTGATCAATAGAATGAAGAGATTTTGTATTTCGTGTAAATTTTTTAATTATAAATCGCAAAGCGCTTTCGGCTAAAAAGCCATCATCAGTGCTATACCTGCAAGTAAGTAACATTTGTGAAATTTCAAAAACAAATCTAAAAAGGTAGATTACTTACTCGTCAAGTATTTACAAAAAGGTCCAAAAATTAGTGATCACAAACATCATTATGGTATGGTTCATAATCCCGTTTGTACCATAATGATGTTTGTGATCACTAATTTTTGGACCTTTTTGTAAATACTTGACGAGTAAGTAATCTACCTTTTTAGATTTGTTTTTGAAATTTCACAAATGTTACTTACTTGCAGGTATAGCACTGATGATGGCTTTTTAGCCGAAAGCGCTTTGCGATTTATAATTAAAAAATTTACACGAAATACAAAATCTCTTCATTCTATTCATTCATCTCTGTCTGGAAAAGTCTTGTTTCAGTATTAGGGCTTTGACGTCACATCATCGCCTCGTTTTCAGAGGTCCGAAAAATCGTGGATTTCAATAATTTTTTATAAAACGTAGGGAGCTCACAGAAAGAAACGGTTTGCGGTGGTGAGCTAGTTTGAGTGAGTTCTATCGAATTATGAAATAAAAATTTTTTGTGATACAAGCCCATTCTATACTTCAGTATTTTTTCAAAGACTTTTGCCAAAGTGGATATGAGAGTGATTGGTTTATTTTTTATTTCATCTTTATTTCCATTCTTATAGATAGGTTTTGAATAATTTTGGACAAATTCCTGTTTGGAATATAATATTTATAAGGTACGCTAATGGTTTGCTTATTACATTTGATAAAGCTCTCAACATTTCGGATGTTATTCCATCTATACCAGGGCATTTCTTCAATTTCAAACTAAATATTGTATCCTCAACTTCCTTCTCATTTGTTTCCTCCAAGAAAAATGTATTTTTTGTTCTATGTTGATATGGATTGACTGATACTTTCGATTTAATTTTCTTTGCTAGTTCTTTTCCAACATTGCTATAGTATGAAATAAATTCATTTGCAATACTTTTCTGGTCAGATATCATTTCACCAGTATTCGATTTGACTATTTTTATTTCATTACTCCTGATGTTATCTCCACATATTTTTTTGATGCACTTCCAAAGATTTCCACTTGATTGTTTGTTCTTTTCAATTTCATTTTTGTAATACTGTATTTTTGCATTATTAATAATGTTTGTTAATTTATTCTTATATCTCAAATATTGTTCTTTTAATTCATCATCTTCCTTATCTATCTGTAACTTTTGATATAGGAAATTTTTTTTATTAACAGAGTTTAATAATGCTCCTGTCATCCATTCTTTTCTTCTCTTATTTTTCATTTTGACAGATCTAGTGCTGATATCAACACAGAATTTCACTTTATTAGTGAGTTCATTAGCTAAATCATTAGAGCATTTAAGTTTATAATAATCATCCCAGTTAATTTCCATGAAATTCTCATATAATGTTTTATAATCAATGAAATATTTCCTATAGCAATTATTCATGTCTGTATTACAATTTTCACAGCTAATTTGAAGAATTATTGGATAATGATCTGTAATATTATATTTATAAATGATTGGATGAAAAATGTTGTGATTATCCTTAGACCTTATGAATATATGATCCAAACAAGACTTTTGATCTACTACACGTGTAAATTTATTAATTAATGATCGGAAGCCATATTCACTCAGTATATTACAGTATTCATTAGCATAATCCCTATTTGAGAGAATATTAATATTCAGGTCACCAATTATAATTGTATTTTCCTTATTCGACTTTCGAATATCATTCAAAAACATTTGAAATTGAAAATTGAAATCATATGGGCTAATAGATGGAGATTTGTAAATATTATTATTATTATTATTATTATTATTATTATTAAAAAGTGATAATGGGCTGAGGTGTGAACCTATAAAAGCCCATTTATACATGACATAGTTGTATGGTACACATAAAGAAATATTATATATATATGTAAATAGCTACTAGACAAACAATTAGATTAAAAATAAAATTGAAAAAACAATTAAAAAAACAATTAAAAATGTTGAATAGAAATTGAACATTTCGAAATAAAATAGACAGATATAATGCGATGCAAACTGAAAAAAACAAAAACAATTTACTCAGTAATACGATCTAATCGACTTTTGAATGATGATACTGAGGGTGCATTAACTATGTCTGTATCCAGGTTGTTCCATGCCGAGAAAACACGATTTACTATGAAGTTTTGCCGATTTGACGACCTGAAATGTTCCTTCTTAAGTTTAAAATTATGTCCTCTTAATCGTAAATAGCAAATATATTGAGAATATTGGTGTTGCTTATATATATATATCTTGATATGAATTACCTTTATTAAACCTATTGAAATGATTTCATGATTATAACTATATTTATTTTTGACATATGCTATAACACCATCATTTTGATTTAAACTCCCGTTATTGTAAATTAAATCGTAACCATCCAAATTAAATAAGTTTGTATTTGAAAGTTGAAAGGTTTCCGTGAAAATAATCACATCAAATTCTTCCAACTGTTTTATTAGTAATATTTCTTCATTAAAATTTTTATTTATGCTGCGAATATTATTATGAAAAATTGTGAATTTACTTTTATTTATTATTCTGTTTTGCTTATAATTGAAGAAATTTTCAATCAATTTTGTATCAACGATACTATCATCCAGCCTTTGAATATATGAATCCATAAAAAAGAAAAATTTATAAAAGTTATGTGATGAAATAGTCAAATGAAGAATTTATCAATGAGTTTCCGCCAATTTTGTTATATCGCTTTTATCATTTATAATGATAGGTTTTTCATTTTCATTTTTTCTGACGAAAATTTTGATATTTTTCCACCATATATACTTATAATTCGACCTCAACAATTCCTTAGTTTTTCCCAATAAGTATTTGTTCCTTTTCGTCAGTTCTTCATTAATATATATTATAGTTCTTCTAGCTTTAATTCCCAAATCTTCAGTTGATAGAGCACCATTCAATTTGAAATATTGTTTCGCGGCATTTGCAATCTTGAATTTTGTTGCCTCATTTTTCAAACTGATTTTTATTAGTTCTTGAGAATTCTCAGATATCTTCTTCATTCTTTTTATATTTACGACTTCTCTGGATTCTTTCTGGATGCCAATTTTGAAAAATACTTTCTGTATAATTTCTTCGTCATCAATATCTTGTTGTTCTGGTATACCTTTGATTTCGATGTTATTCTTAAGTTCAATTTGTTCTTTTATGTCAATCTTTTGTTTCAATGATGAAATTTCATGTTTTATATCAGTGATTTCCTTCTTCAGTATTTTATTCTCTTCTGCTAACAAATTTCTCTCTTTTTTAATTTCTTTATTTTCTTTTTTCACATCATCATAGTTTGCTGCCATGAATTCAATGGTCCGTTGCAATTCCAACACAATCCCTGTTAAATATTCAAAATTTTTGTCTGAATTATCATTTTTAGAATTTGGAACTGGTTCACAACATTCATGGCATTTCCATCTTCGCCCATTTGGTTTTTTCATTTCTTTTGAAAATTCGTCGAAGTTCTTCGTTTCTAAACGACTACACTTCAGATGATACCGTTTGTTACATGCCCCTTTACATTCTATAGCACTCTGATTAGATTTAACATTTAAATTGCAGCTTCCACAAGGATACTGATTAGATGATCCAGCACTAATCTTGTCTTGGTTAGTTACAATGAATGAATTTATTTTATTTTTGGTTTTACCACTACACGGGTATTTTAATGGGAGGTATCCATCTTCATCCTCTGATGAATCCTGATCGTCTAATGGTTTTGAAATAGCTATTGATTTTTTTCTTCCCATATTGAATTAGTATTAATGTTTGACAATTTATGTCAGTTGATACCTTCTGCTAAGTTTTTTTCTTGATTTATCCTGTTTCTCATGATTATTCTTCTTGGCGTAGTTCACGTTCACTTCAAATTTCCTTATATCAATATTTTGAAAATATATTCGATTTTTTTCCCCTGGATATCGAAATATTTCGAGGTACTGACAATTACTCGGATAGGGGTCTATATGCACGACTTAGTCGAAGGTTATAACAATACAAAATACTGAAACTACCAAATATCTGGGCATCATTATATCGACCAGAACTCAAGTGGGACTATAATGTTATTTACAAATAAAAAAAACTCAGATTCTTCCTCCTTAAGCAGTTTATCAGTTTATAAACCTGCTTATTACATTATATTACAATTTAGTAGAATCCATTCTACGTTATGGAGTCTCCAGTATGAGGATATATGTATGACACAGCACTAAAGGCCCTTGAATGTTAATCAAATGAAATATTGAAGATTATTTGAAAAAGAGACAGGTTGTGAATTGTATTACTCTACCAAGGTATTGAAATACATTGCTACAGTGGTGAAAAAAATTTATTGATCTGTACTATTCGAATAGCCTGCACATAACTGCCACAATCTGCAACTGTCGAGTGTAAGTCCAAATTTATGATTATGGTTACTCATGATAATGATGGAAGTAAGATATGGTGTAATTGCTGATGCGCTTTTGTTTCACTAATTTTACTCAACCTCTCGAGAACAGCGAGAGCAATTTTTTCGTCGATCTTCTAATAGATGGCGACATTGCACAGTTATGACATCTGTCAGTTTTGAAATTGTCACAGATTTTTCATATGTTTCGCGTACCTAAAACGCTATTCACCATTTAAATTCCAGTCGTCACAACAACAATAGCAGTATCACCATCTAGCGGGAAAATGTAAAATCAACGTCTCGCTCGTTGTGACGTAGAAAAAGCATAGTAGGCGGTCGAGTGATTTTTCTGAAATTTTCAATACGTAATAATGGCCGAATACGCGCACCATATCTTACTTCCATCATTCTCATGATGGTATAGTCACTGTTAAAAGTGAAAAACAGTGAATTCTCATTTCTCCGTGTATTTGTAGGAGTAAGGTGATTGAAACTATGGGAACCATGTAAGGTGAGTCTTTTCTATTTGCGTGTATTTCACAAACAGTAGTATAGTGGTGTGCTTTAGTTGAACTAGTAGAACAAATATCTACCTAGTTGAATTTGAAAAAGACGATGGGATGTCAGATTATTACGCCATCTTACAGTAATTCCTACTCTTATTACTCGATTCATCACAATAATTTATGTCATTAAATGTAGAAAATCGAGTTAACAATGTATCAATGACTCCATAGTTGTAGATAAAGAACATTATTACAATGGGACCTTACATTCCTCGGCTGGCGCTTCCAGATATAATCTTGCATGATCACTAGGTGATAATATTCTTTACTACCTTGGTGTATAAATAACTATTGCCGAGAATATCAAAGAACGCGGTAATTGAGAGGTGATTGAAGGTTCTTCAATATTAATTGTCTAAGTTAGTATTTTTCAACCTCTGCTCATTTTGTTATTTTGAAAACATCATAGGATCGATGCAGAGAAATAATGTGCATGAAAATCAACGGATAGTTCTAGATTACCAACATTATATAGATATAAATCATGATGGAAGAATATAAATCTACTAAGAACATTTTCTCACTTTTATGGAATGATTGATCAATTTGTTTGGACCATACAGGATTTTTCACGATGAGTGTTAATGAGACGTTTCTAGCTATCCAGAATAATCTTGAAATTTGATGATATGTACAAATTAACATAATCTACTTGTCTTAAATATTTCGAACCATGCGGCTTTGCCGCTTCTACTGGAAAGTAGCAGCAACTTTGATTTCTCAAATGGAACACCCTGTATTCAATTGCATTTTCAGATTCTTCCTGACGAGGTGATTTCATCAATGCATCATACTTGGGGTCTAGCGAGAATGATTACAGAGATATAGGGTGTTCAAATCGATATTTTTCAACTCTAGGATATTTGTGTCGAAACTATTCAATATTGGTCAAAACGGCTTACATGTCAATATTTCAACTTTTGATTAACTATCTACCGACATTCAATTAGAACAGATACATGGTGATCAGAATTATAAATCTTGAAGTACCCTGTATTTTTTCCAATTAAATGTCAGTAGATAGTTGATTAAAAGTTAAGAGACACATGAAAGCCGGTTTGACCAATAATGAATAATGAACACCCTATAAATCTCTGTATTCATTCCCGCTAGAGCCTAAGTGTAATGAATTGGCAAAATCAGCTCTTCAGGGACAATCTAAAAATGCAATGAAATGCAGGGTGTTCCATTTGGAATAATTTCAAAGTTACTGATGCTTTCTTGTAGAAGCGGCAACGTCGCATAGTTTGAAACATCTTAGACATGAAGATTATGTCAATTTATAATTACCATCAAATTTCCAGATTCATCTGTTGGTTGGTTGTCAGAAACGTCTATGTGATTAAAAATTATATTATTCATAATATATAGGGTTACTGACAACAAATATGTCACAAGTAATAACTGTGAATGATTATTTTAATTTGGTGTTTCAACAATTGATTCGAGATTGTGGGTTGTATTGGGATTGCACCAGTGCAAAACTGAAACAGTGTCAGTGCAAAACTAGTTCTTAGTCAGTGTATGCAACATTAGTTTTTCCAATAGACTTCGCTATTATTAATTGCATAGTTTTTGTGGTGAAGTTTCGTTTTATCACACAATAAAATTGAGTCGGGTTCAATTGGTAAGTGAAATGTTAACATCCCCATCAGACTAATCTAGTGATTTAGATAGTTTGTATCTATGCCTTCTATGCACACATTTTTTCTCTGGATGAAACTAGATATAAAAACAAAATGATATGGGAACCAAAAATGGAGCTTTGAAATTAATCAAATTGAAAAAATAAACAAATTTTGAAGAAATGGTGAAGTGCTATGGACTAAACAACACAAATCCAGTTGCATCGATATATGTTTTCCATAGAATTCAAATATTCTCAGCATTCAAATTGATTTTTTAGAAACACGTTGAAGATGTGATAGTTTTCAAGATGATTATAACAAAATTAAATGTTGATGAATTTAAGAGTATGCGTGTTCTTTATTGATAGATCACATTCTTTATATAAAATTATCACAAATACTTCAACTAAAAAAGCATCATAATATGCTCATTTTTTCTATTGATTGATCGCATTGTATTCGCTTTCCCTGATAGTGACAAACACATCTATAGAAGACAAACAAAAAACAGTCAGAAAAACTATTCATTTTGTGCTTGATTGGAAATAACATTTCATAACATTAATAATAAGGTGAATATCATCAATATAAAAAATATTTCAATCTCAGGTCCAAAAAAGACCAGTAGATAATCATTATAGAAAACTAGTCTAATCAGCTACCTGTGGGATCCCAAAACCTCACAGTTTTTGGACATGATTCAGCACAACAACACAAAGACCTTGAGTTTCTCTGAGTGGAATAGTTCTTTGGGTCATTGGAAATGACCCTCTTGCTGTTCTTGACCTGCAATAATAATGATTCTGTACTTTTCTACAGACTGACTATCAAAAACTGCCCCAAACCATAGCGCCGCTATTACCTACCCGATTTAGAATAAATAAAAAAAACAGATACAGCGATTAGTTTTGAACAAGTTTGATGAATGATGTTATATCAAAAAAGTTGCTAGTTTTAGAATTATGAACAATTGTTAATAATTATTTCGACTATTTTTCTAACAGTTTAGTGAGAAAACCGCAATAAATGGAACACAATGTCACTTACATATCCTAACTTATGAAAGTTTTCAAGATTGTTTTTGTAATATGTAGAATAAAGAAGTTACCAGAAGGTAGGCGGATTTTTGGTCCTGACTGTATATTTTCATGAAATTTTGAAATGTATCATTGAATGTAACAACGAATGTCACTAAAAGGAACCTCAGTGTCTCATTTGTCAGATATTTCGACAACGCATGTAATTTCAAAGTGTGCTGTGAAAAAAAGGATAAGATCAAACAGGTCATTGTTATGTTGAACACACAATTCACACCAAATGATTGCTCCGTTGCCTCAAATGCAATCCCTATTTCGTTTATTCATAAGGAAAAGATAGGTAAATATGACAAGATCTTCCATTCATATGTCATGGAGCAATCAGCAATATGTGTGACTCAACATATAACGATGACCATTTTACAGCACATTCTAAACTCCCATGCGGAGTTGAAATATTTGACACATGAACAAGTGTCATTCATTTCATTGACTTTATTTACCACATTTTTCAATGACATCACAAGATGTTACAAGAATATATATTTCTTGGCAACTGAAATATCATTTTTGATTTTAGCTAATTTTGTCGAATAGGCCACTTATCATACAATACAATGATATTATCGAGCAGAGTAAAAATTGAAAACATATGGTGCATTTAAAAAAAATACGTCACAGTTGTGATTTGAACAAATCAAGATGAGAGCTTACTCATGCTCATGCAAATCTGAAGAGTTATTTCATGTTTATTTTTTTTGTTTTTCACAATCGGAAAGTTAATAGCGGCGGTAACGTTTGGGGCTTATTTTATAAGTCAGCCTATATATTATTGTTAAAAAACGATAGTCAAGTAGCCAACAGTAGAATTCGATGTTCCGAAACGAGACGCTTTTATATTTTTATTTCTGTTGAAATTATGAAAGTATGTAAAAAATAATAGTTATGAAAACTGACGAAATTAGGAGAACTGAAAACAAATTATGTGTGTTTTTAGAGAGTTCTAACAGCCATTCAAAGTTCGTTATTTTTGTTGAGGGACCCAAATCGACCAATGAAGCCAGACCTCAACTGTAGCATTCAGCAAAGTTTTCAATCATATTGACATTGACATTGTGCCTCCTGTATCTCAGCTATCTTTCAACTTATAGGAAACGTAAAAACTGCCTCTTTTCATTTTTCCTCGCAGACTCCAATGGCGTAGTCAGTGTTTCAAAATAAGCTGTTATTGTTTAGATACATTCCAAAGTAATATTTTTTCAAATGGAATACCCTGTATATTTTTCCATATTTGAAACATCGATACTTTGTGCGTTTCAAACATATATAAAAGACTACAGGCCCATGCTAGTTTTGGAAGGGGTCATGTGACGCAGATTGAATTATAATCAGAATAATTAGAGTACCATACGAAACTACTCCTTTAGGCACTGTGCCGTCATTTGGGAGGGGTGCATGAGTTGCATAGATATTTAGATCTATGAGTTGAATGAAACTTTTCATCGAGAGAGAAATATTCCGACAACATATTCCTGAACGGCATTTCTGAAAGTCAGTATTTTTTTCATTTTAAGAAAAATTTTTCCCCTTTATATATGATTTGATACTGTACGGAGTTTGGGAAATTAGATTTCATAACTACGTTAATGCATTTTAGCAACGCCGTACAATATTGCCAATACAAGGGTGAAAAGTACAGCACGCAACTGCCTACTCCTAACTAGCATTTGATAGAGCACCACATTCAATGATCCCATTATAATATCATGAAACATGTAATTTTTCAAGGCGCTCACCTCGTATAGGGTGACCTCCGCCTTGGTGTCAGAGTGCATAGATAGCCTACAAAGGCTGTCAGCAACGAACAAGTTATGTCTTTTGTGGGTCCCTGGACACTCAGGGGTACCAGGTAACGAAATGGCCGATGGTCTGGCCAGAAAGGGGGCAAAGGGTTCAGTGATTGGCCCAGAGCCAATCTTAGAGGTCACTCGATCCTGGAGCAACTTCAAGATGAAGGAAATCCTGACGGAAAAGGTTCAGGACAGCTGGAGAAAGGCTCCTCGAATGAGGCAGTCCAAACTCCATATAGGAAACCCGTCACGAAGACAGACCAATGCCCTCTTGGCTTTGAACAGGAAGGAGCTGAAACTGGTGGTGGGCCTGCTGACAGGGCACTGCCACCTGAACAAACATCTCAGCATGATCGGGATTGTGGAGGATCCTGCTTCTACTCACATCCTCACTGAATGCCCGGCAATAGTGGCAGCAAGGGATATCCATTTTGGGAGCAGTATCCTGGACCCAGAGGATGTTAAGAAGATTTGGCCTAGGAAGTTGGTCTCTTTTGCTCGCGAGATCGGCCTTCTCCATGGCTGACTTGCGATCCCAGGAATGTGGGTGCACAATGGGCCCGAAAAGAGAGGCCTAAGTGCGTCAGGTCCCGGATCGCCCACACACATACATACATACATACAACATGTAATTTATTGTAACGCCGTACATTTTTCATGGAACATGCGACTGTCTCAGGAAAACTTATGTCTCATGTCTCGCTGAAAAGGGCAATTTCACGTTCATTTTATTTTTTACGGCATGACAATATATTCTCAGAACGGCATATAGTTTTCATTGATCAAAATTAATTACGATACATTATTTCCTGCAAATTAAAAACCGAATTTGAAATCCACTCATTTTTAAAACTTGGAGGCGTATCATGTAGTAAAAAAACCTCAAGGCCTTCTTTTTTAGATATTTATCATGAGCACTATGTACAAGATGTGCGAATGATATTGTATGAATAATTGAACTGTGAACTGATGAACAAACGTTTTGGTCCATAATGTAGTCTGACTTCAAAATCGAATTACTCATGGATTTCTTAACCAATTTCCATTCGGTTTTCACAGTCAGCTAGCACAATCTTTCAGTTAATCTTCAGAACAATATGAGGCTACAAATATTCTAGATGAACGGTCTACTGGATGATAATAATTGGAGTAGTGAAAAATTCCAGCCCGTTTGAGTATTTTTCCTCTCGATAACAATCATAAAGCTTGATGTCTCCTATAGAAAAAATTTTGATTTTTTTTTTCAATCAGACCCTTTATATCGAAAATATATTTTTCTGCAACCGACCAAAATTAGCTCTTGAATTGACTTTTCTATTACTGACACAAACATAGGTATGTTGCTTGGCCACACTTTTAATTCCTAGAAGCTGAAGTTGAACTCTAGCTCCTAGGAACTGAGGATGCATTAGAAGTCATCGAGGAGAAAAAAACCATTGTTATGGTTGCTTATTTGAGTCGGGACGCATACCTGATTTGTTTCCCATCTCAGCAGATTTGGTATTTCATACTCATGCTGGATATACAGGGTCGCTGATATGTATGGAAACAGGTGAATATCTCGGTAACCTGTTGTTGTTTTTTTTTTCAATTTATGTACTGTGTGATTTCAAAACGTGGCAGATTTGAAAATGTTATAGCCAATGTTGCCACTTTTTCAGTTATACCGGATTTTTCATTAACTTCCTTATTTTGAATAGAACACCCTGTTATTTATTGGATTTTCAGATTCTCCCTGAAGAGCTAATTCCATCGATCTATCACACTTGGGGTCTAGCAGGAATGAATACATAGGTATAGGGTGTTTAAAATCTAGATTTTTCAATTTTTCAACTTAAGTATTTTTTTGTGTCGAAACTATTCATTATCGATCAAAACCGCTCCAATGTTTCCATCTTTACTTCTGATTTACTATCTACTGACATTTAATTGAAACAAATACAGGGTGGTTCAAGATTCAGAATTCTGATCACCCTGTGTATCTGTTCCAATTAAATAGTCAGTAGATGGTAAATCAAAAGTGAAGTCAGGAACATTGAAGCGGTTTTGATCGATAATGGATAGTTTCTACACAAAAAAATCTTGAAGTTGAAAAACCTAGATTTTAAACACCCTATACCTATGTAATCATTCCCGCTCGACCCCAAGTGTGATAGATCGATGGAATCAGCTCTTCAAGGAGAATCTGGAAACCCAATAAAGTACAGGGTGTTTCATTCAAAATAAGGAAGTTACTAAAAACCCGGAATAACTGAAAAAGTGGCAACAGAGGCTATAACATTTTCAAATCCGCCACGTTTTGAAATCACACTGTACATAAATTCAAAAAAATCTAACAACAGATTGCCGAGATATTCACCTGTTTCCATACATATCAGCGACCCTGTATAAATACACCATATTATAGTTAAGTAAGTAAGGATGGAGTGTTTGATGAGAAACTTTTTCCTGAAAATTTCGTAGCTTAGCTTAACGAGAAAAAATATGCCGTACATTTTCAATTTGAGGATTTCTCACAGCTGTACTTCATATTCGGGTTATACATCATTGCTTGTTGCATAATTACAAAGAGTGTCAGTTCAACAGAATAATCCACCCTCTTCGAGGTCGAATTTTTTCAAATGTCAAACTGACACTCTTTGAAGTTATGCAACAAGCTATGATATGATGTATAACCCGAATATGAAGTACTTATAGTATTACTACTGAACATCCTATAACATTCCGTAAAAACATAATGAACAATTTTAGCAGCTTGAGAAATCCTCAAATTGAAAATGTACGGCATATTTTTTCTCGTTTCGATATATTTCCGAATAACGAACGATGTTCTTTGAACATTATAGGGATTCCCTTTCGTGCGCTCCAAGCGATACAAAAAATCTGGAAACTACTCATC